CTCCCTGTCTATCCCTGTCTATCCCTGTCTCTCCCTGTCTCCCTGTCTCTCTCTCTTTCTCTCTCCCTTTCTGCCACCCGCCTATGTATCCCTCGCTTGCTCTATCTGCCTCACTCCCTCTCTCTCTTGCTCTCCCTATCATTTTCTGTCCCTTTCTCTCTCCCTTTCTCCCTCCCGCCTCTCTCCCTCGCTTGCTCTCGCTCTCTTCTTCACTCCCTCCTCTCTCTCTCATTCTTTCTGCCCCTTTCTCTCTCTCTCTGTCCATCTCTCTCTCTCTCTCCCCATCCCTCTCCCCCTCTCACTCACATTCTCTCTCGCCCTCATCCTAAGAGCACACGCAAAGGCAAGAGCCAAGCATAATACCTGCCTAACCTGCTAACATTACTCTGACAGAAAGTTTAGTGGTCTCTTCAGGAGTTCGACCAATAAAACAATGCTGATTGTGCACTACAACCCTGGGACCAACCCTGAAGGATCGACCCAGTGGCATGTCCACACTGAGAGCCACAGTTGTCACGGCAGGAACACAATAAACTGGGTGATTGGTGGCAAGCATCAAATTCTGGCCATGATCAGTGGCAATCTTGGCATTGACCCGAGTAGAAAAGGATAGTGTGAACTTGTGAAGGGAGGAGAAATACCGCTCCAATACTCCCACATCAAAGAGGTATGCCAGTGGACAATGAAGGGTGCCCCGTAAACCACCACTGCCTCAAAACCTAAATTGTTGGTCCTCTCTTTACCCCAGCCCTGGAATTTCAAACTGTTGCTGTCCTGCAGGTAAAAATAGTCGAGCAGACTGGCATCACCGGCACGATCTTGGGAAGCCATACAGGGGAGTGATGTTTTACCAAGCACTTCACACACATATGCCCAGCAGGCTATATGGACAACTCGTCTTTGGATTCAGAAGTTGCATTTAGCACCCTGGCAAACTCGATTCTCTATACCGGGCAGCTCTGTTTGACAAAATATAGTCAAACAGAGCTGCCCTATAAACCGTATATATATATATACTCCTCGCCACCCCCATCTCCTCCACGGTCTCGTTTGAGAACCGATTCTCCGGTTTCTATTCTTCCCATTGTTCCGCCTTCATTGCCAGTGACATCTTCTGTTAGAAACATCGCCACTCCTCTTATTGTGTATCATCGTCGACGACATGCACAACATCGCCACTTGGCCAGGGATCAGCGGCCTGCTTCT